TTCTTTAAGAATTCATTATCTACTTGTTGTACTTCTGTTTCTAAAGGGATAAGGTTTTGAATTGCCTGATTTTTTAAGACAGTGGGTTCAGATTTTTTGGCCCCCCCTGCGAGGGAAGTAGTGATAATATCTACAACTCTAATTTTCCCGTCTCTTTTGCTTTTGTAAACATTGATGATTCTAGCTAATTTCCATTTAAGTTTGTGCAAAGGAGAGCTGGCATTAATCATGTTAGGTTTTAGGAGAACAATTTGAACAACCTTTGATTCTAAAAGATTGGTTTTCTTTCCCGTTTTTGTATTAAATTTTCTTAGGTTTGATAGGTATCCTTCATAGAAATTGGTCCACACTCTTTCAGAGATTTTTATTCGTCTAACGGCATTTTCTGAGAGTCTGTCTTTGTCAGTAATTCCTAGGAATTTCAAAGGTTCAGGTCCATATAGGAAGGGATTTAGTTCCCAATCTCCTTGATGAGGATTAATAAACATAGATGGAGTTACTGGCATAGGAGATTCCCTTTCTGAGAATAGGTAGGTTAGAGGTCTGTTGTTGACCATGTTCTCAATTTGAGCTATTACAGATAGAAGAGAATTCCAGTTATCAAATGAGATTCCTCTAAAGGATCTAGCTAGCCTTTCCTTTATCATGCTCATGTGCCTTTCGTAAAAACCCTCCCACCAAGGAGCTCTGCTCGCATTAAAATGCCATTCTGCGTTTTTAAGTTTGACTTTTAGTTTGTGTTCTTGGGCTTTAAGAAGCATGGGCCAGGCTGCTCTAAAGGTTGCTGCGTTATCTGAGACTAAAATTTCAGGTTCGACGTTTCGCTTATGACAAAAGGTTTCGTATGCTCCAACGAAGGATTTGATTGTTAGGTCTTGAACTGCTTGAAGATCTATGGCTCTGACAAGAGGGCAAGAGAAAACACAAATAGATACTTTTAGAGCTGGAATTGTGACTTTAGGTTTTCCTTCTATCTTTCTGGTGACTTCAAGGGAAATTAGAGGTCCCACAAAATCTATTCCTACTGCTTTGAATGGGATAGACCCATGGTATCTATATTCTGGAAGAGGAGCAGGTGGGACAGAGAAAGGTTTGGAGTCAAATCTCTATTCCTACTGCTTTGAATGGGATAGACCCATGGTATCTATATTCTGGAAGAGGAGCAGGTGGGACAGAGAAAGGTTTGGAGTCAAATCTTTTGCACCAGTTGCATGATGTTCTTACTTCTCTAGCTATTTTTCTTCCCTTAGGGATCCAAAAGGTTTTGTGAAGTGCACTTAAAGTGACTGAGGAGGATGAGTGTCCAAGCTTTTCATGATAACTTCTAAATAGGGCTTTCAAGGCATCTGTGTTTTGTTTTCCTTTTGGAATTGGAATGTAGATAAGAGTTTTTCTTATGGCGTTGGTTTTGCTAAGTTTTGAGTTTGTTTTTTCCCCTTGTCTACTGGTAGATTCTATTAGACTGAATTCACTATTCCACTGAAGATCTGGTTTGAGTTTACAGTCAACCCCCGGTTAACAAACCATCCGGTTAACGGATTTTTGGTTAACGAACCGCCGAAAATCTGTCCCATTTTTCACGGAGTGGTCCGGTTAACGGACCGCCATTCGGTTAACGAACTGCGGTCCGTTTTTCTGACTTTAAAAAATTCCCAAAAAATCAATTGTGAATCAATTTTCAAATTTTTTGCAGCGTTGCATGCGCAAAGATGTTTTCTACGTTTCATATTTTTTAAATGCTAAAATATAAAAATTTGACAGAATTACAATCAAAAATGTAAAAACATTTTTGAAATTCGTTAACAAAAATCATGAAAAAATGTTTTTACTTTTTGAATTTTAGCTGTTTTAATTTGCAACATTTTTCAATGAAAAAAAGAGTAAACTTGTAAAACATCAGTGTGCATGAAAACCTGTAAATATTTTTCAACTTTCATCAAAAGC